GAACCACAGAGAACAAAACCAAAATTGTCAGAAGGAACTACTAATTGAGTGACCAATTTGGACACCGAGGGCTTGATTTTCCACAGTGCTCAGCACTTCTGGGCATCCAAAGTGCAGCTTCAAAGCCACTTCAGCAGCAAGGGGAACGCTGCACTTCTGCACAAGAGGCCAGAGGCTCTTCACGTGAGACAAACTGAGCACAGCCCACACCACAAGCAACTCCTGGCAGCTCCTGCTTACACTGTTTGCCCAGCGCCAGGTAGCTGAGGCTAGGTGTGGAATTCAGTTTTCTGTGGCAGCATTCAACTCCCCTAATCAAAGGGGTTTGTCTTCCTGAAAATCCTCAGGTTACCACACACTTTAACTTTCTTATAACTGCATGACAGAAGAGCCAACCTCCTACCCCAAGCCAACATCCCTCCCTACAGCGCCAAGAGCAAGCACTAGGTCCCTATTTATCTCACTCATTACTGAACATCTGAAGTGTTTCATCTAAAACATGAAAAATTTTGTTAAGAGGTGATGTGGGCTATTTCAACTTCAGTGTTTCAAATTAAACTATATATATATGTATACACACAACTCCAAATAGATCTCAGGTAGAGCATCACAGGCAATCATGTCTGCAATGATTGTAACCAACTCCACGTACCACATGTGTTTATAACTAATTCCAGATAATGCTGCTTAACCATTTAAATTTATACACATGCATACATAAAAATCAAAAGATCAGAACAAAGTGCTTTAAAAAAGCTAGTATTCAGGAACAACATTTGAAGGACCTGCCTTAAATCTGCTAAGTTAAAAATCGCATAAAATATGGTTAGCATGATTTACAGATGGAAGGTCTGCTTCCAAAGAAAAATTTACAAGGAATCCAACAAACGTAAGCACCAGGGTAAAACCATTACAGATGAAGATCAGAATCAGAAACGCCTTCCCTTTTTTTTTTTTTTTAAATATATGAATTCATATAATTAAATACTGTCAGAATTTTTCTAAGAAAGCCCTGAAAGCAGAAGAAATAGTGAAAGAAATTTTAGGGACACCACACTGGAGATGGAAATTAGGCCAGGTACTGAATTCGGCAGGCTAAGGGTTCTGTGTGCTTTTGTGTTCCCACATTACACCCTGAGCTGGAAAGAGCTTCTAGTACGTGCGATAGGGAGGGAAGATTAGTGTGCATTACAGTAAGGAGGTATGGGATGCCAAAAAAATAAAAATAAAAAAGAGGATCACGGTATCAATGCTGACGAATGGTATTAAATGGTCTCCAAGGTTAAAAAAAGTGCATGAGAAATGCTTAGAGAAAGGCAAAAAACTTATTAGATGCATGGGTGGCCTCCTTCATAAAGAGATTAAAGAGAGCAGGATAATTCAGTTTGGAAAGGAACGAGAGGGAATATGATACAGGTATTATGAAATAACGAATCATGTAGAGATGGCCAAATTGGCAGCTTCTATTCACCCTTCATCTAAATTAAATGAAAACAAGTTTGAAAACAGAGAAATAACCATTTAAGCAATATTATCTGAATGCAATTAAGCGCTGCACAATATCTGCCACAATATTAATCTCCCCTCGCCTTAAAACTGCGGGAGCAGCAGCAGATAACATCAGAGTTTATAAACCAGGTGAGCACTACCACGGACACCCGGCATTCCCCACCCATCCCAACCACTCAAGGAGGGCTCCTTGGGGCACAGATCCCAGATCCCTGCAGAGAGGGTCCCCGGGCAGCAGCACCAGCTCTGGCCCACCCTCCTCCTCCTCCTCTTGCTCCTGCACTGAGGCAGATGGCTTCAGTGGCAATGCTCAGCACTGCTTCTACAGGCTCACTTGTAGCTTGACAAAGAATAAGGGGGTGGGGAAAAAAATTAGAACCCACTATGAAAGCATTACTAGCCAGTGAATATCTGTTGCCCAACTGTGATTAAATGCTAGACTGCACAAAAGCATGGGAGCCAGCAAATTTTAAAAGCATGTTTCGAAAACAGACTGGAATAAAGCATGAGTTTTCTGCTTTATTCACAGCACTTTAATACAGCCAAGTGCTTCCCTGACAGGCTCGACACCTTGCCCCACAGGCACCCAGCAGGGCTATCGGAGTGCCTGCTACAGCAGGGCAGGTTTCCATGTCCCACTCTGCATAAAAGAATTGGGGCATCTTCCCCTTTCCCCCCTTCAACCTTTAATTCTTCCCAATTTTGTTGGCTCTGGATTATAATGGAAAGCGTGGTCTTTTTAACGGGAAGATGCATCAGGGAGAACTACATCTCCTGTACACTTTACTCTTTTCTTGTGTGCACACATGTGAAAAAGGCACTTTTAAAAGCTATTTTCCTGGAGCTATTAAAAAGTCTTGATGCCATTTCATTATCACTCTACAGGGCTGGTGCTAGTCTGATATTTTTAGTTTCAACATAATAGTTGATTCGTTTAAAAAGAATTGCCTTCTGTGAAGTTGGAAACCTGCAACTGTAACAGAAAGCTGTCGAAAAAAAATAAAAATCAATTTCTGAATCATCTTTTGAAACCAATCAACAATTACAAGTTCCAAGAAGTCGCCCAACAACACAGGGATAATTTCACAGAGGTCACACGTGTGAAAAATATTTCTCCTGGTACAGCTGTGCTGGTGCTTTGCAGTAACAGAGCTAGGTCAGTGTTCAATACTAGGGACAACCTTCCTGGGAAGTTTGCCCCATATTCTAACAGTAAGCATTTGCTCTGGAATCTGCTTATAGCTATCTAAAAAAATGATAGAGGGAATCAGAGAAAAATCCCACAAAATGGATTTAGTTCTCAGATTAGTGCAGATAAAAATAAAGTACGTTAGAACTCAGATGGAGATCACATCCAAGGCATTCCCTCTATTGTGTACAAGACTCAGGGTGACAAGTTTGCAGAAAAAAAGATAAGCCCTTAACAGCCACTTTATAAATACCTTAGATCTCTTTATAACTTGGGAAAAAAACTATAAAAAGACTGAAGCATTTCACATGAGTTATATTTACAAGATCCACCCCCCGCTTTTTTTCCCAGTAGCCATCCATAAGATGCATACCACGCCTCTGGCTTACCAGCAGTCCAAGTGAGAGCACTGCTGTGGTCCAGACAAACATTTAGGAGGACGTTTGGCCTCTGAACAACTAGTCTCCAAAACATAAGGGACCACTGAAGGGAAGGAATGGTTATCTGCATTTTACAGGCCCGGATTGCTGGATATTTTCGCATAAAACTTTCCCATCAAGCTGTCAGTGCATGAAAGGTACTATAACCTACCTCACCTACATCATTATTTTGCTGGCACAGAAAACACCTATATCTTAGTGCAAGGGGAGAAGTAGTCTTGTCCCTGCTGTGGGTCTGGGCACTGAAAAAGGTACAGGAGGTCAGGTAGGTCTCAAGCTGAAGCCCAGGGTCAGACAAAAATACAAATCCCATCCACATTTCAGCAAGAAGAATGAGACCGCCACCTTTAAGTACTGGAATTACTTTGAGCCACAGAATCAGGTCAAAATAAAGTCTATAGTAAACCTCTCTACAGTACTAAAGAAGAGATGAGAGCTTTGCAAACCACCAATAAGTATTGTCAAAGCCTTCCAGCTGGGGAAACATGAACCTCAGAGCAAATGGGAATCACAGGATTTTTGAGCGTAGAAAGTTTCTATGGTAAAAAAACACAAACCACGATCTGGCAGATAAACAAATTCAGGTAGTCATAGATATGACTTGGTTTTTAAGATTATCTGAATGCATCTAAAATACTAAGAAGTTAATTACTAAAAAAAAAAAGTTATTCAGAAGACCACCAAGAGTTAAAAGGAGATTATTGGTAAAAGTGTTTAACACAATTTCACAAGATCCACAAAATTTCAAAGTCTACCTTGAAGTATCCCTACATTGTGGTCAATTCATGCATTAGTTGGAGAGGTTTAAGATCAAAAAACCCACCAACTTTTGAATGCAATTAACTAACCTAGAGATTAAGACTGCAAGACATGCTCTACACTAATACCATCTGACCTATATCTCTCCAAACAAAACAATTCAGTTTGAATACTGAGTGCTAGCTAACAGCTTACAGACTATAAATTACTTTTAAGTGTCAATTGCGAATGAGCAATTGATTGACAAGCGAGATGACTGGGACAACTCAAGGAGAACAGCCACAGCTGAGTGAGTTGCCCATGGCTTGCATTAGCCATGCTTCAGAAGCAATCTCTGCATCCATCTTGAATTCAGAGCCTCCTACAAAGAGCTATTTCCATTCAGGGCCTCACTGGGTGTATTCACTCACCAAAAAGCTCTCTAAATTTATTGCACAGCTTCATTATTAATATAATTAGGATGTTTTCTAGAAAACTAGACCATAGCAAACGTGAAGGAGGCAAGCTTACACCGCTCTGCCTGCTCTGCATTAATTAGTACTCAATGGTTGCATAGACTGGAAAACTGGAATTCCTCACAAGCACTGGAAATCATAGAGGAAAGAGGAACTATAATCCAACAAGGGTTCAAGATAGTTCTGTGTTTTTTGTTTTTTGGGGTTTTTTTTAATTGTTTTCTAATTTAAAGGGAATTGATCACTTGCTTGGAAGATAATTAAATCACTACAGCTACTCAGGTCTACACAGGAAGAGCCAAAGGAATCAAGCACAAGGTCTTCTCTGCTCCTGTTGGCTCCGGTGGCCCCAGGGGAAAAGTTTAGACATAAGCCTCAGCCTTACATTTTGTAGCCAAGCGTTCAATTGAACTCAATCTGCTCTGCCCAACACTTCTGGTTTTACCAGGTAAAAAAAGCCATTAGAGCTGTACTTCAAAAAGTCACTCTTATGCTAACATCTAAGCACCTTGGTTGCACAAGGTGCGAGACCAACACGCTTTGCTTTAAACAAGCATCATTCCGAGAAAGCTGGGCACCCAATTTCTGTGCAACTTTCCTTATGCTCTGACACGGGCACTCTGAATATTCAGATAAAAGGCTCTGGTCCTATTTCACTGCTGCTCTGCGGAAAGTAGCTCTGTCCCCCAACTCTCTACAGCAATATTCCCTTGAACACAAATCAAAAGAGTCTTACAGTAGCAACAAATGAAGAGCAAAGGTGAACAATACTGAAGGGCACCAAGAAGTTGCATGCCATTTACCAGTTTTACATTTACTATGGAATAAATTACCTCCTCTTGTCAAAACAACTCGTCCTCCTTAAAATGCTTACAATTTAAATTTCTGACATTTAAGAAGCCAGCACTGTTTAAAATAAGGAAGTGGGAGTGTAAATCCCCAGTATATGCCTGTTTGAATGTACACTTCATTCTGATTTTTTACTGATTCATAGTGAAATCCTCAGCCCAGCAGAAGGGGAACTAGATTTTGAGGCAGAAAAGAGCACTTCAGTGCTTTGCTATTGACATGAGAAGAAAGAGGAGGCGGTGTAAGAGGAACTAAGAAATCTTGGTCATTCGCCTACTGAATATTTAGGAAGCCACAGCTCTGAAATCCCTGTTCATGGCATCCGGATAAGAATGAAATACATGATGTTCAGAGTTTAACACAGCAAGTAGTACTAGAGGGCTGCTGGAGCAGTGGAGAAATTGATTTCAAGCCCTCAGCAGTGCACACCTCTTGCATTAAGTAGCAGCTACACATAAAATCAAGAGGCAGCCCCTGCCTCAAAGAGCTTACAAAGCACAGCTAACGTGCAACCACCAAATGGGGAAGTATTAAGAGAAAAAAATGGGAACATTCACAAGGTCTTCTGGTTCAAGTTCAAGGTTGTCCTCAGCCCGCGTGGGCTGCAACTGAAGCCTGGATCGCTTTATTGCCTGGCAGTGGAAGTGAGAAACAAGCAGCCCAAACACTGAAGGAAGCCCAGCTGCAAGGTCACAGCAGCCCAGCTGCTACCAGGACTTCTCGGGCTAGGAGCACACAGAAGGGATCTCACTGAGAACTGGGTCTGTTCCAGGTAGGAGAGGATATTGGCAAAGGGACCACCTGCTGCGGAAGTACCAGAGGTGCTTCCAAAGTGTGAGGGGCAACATACAAGGAAGCCCTCCAACAGCATTTGGAGACGAGCTGCACTGCAACCTAAGCAGAATGGACATGGAGACGGGGATCCCAGCCCAGTACCTGGCCAGTGAACCTGCAAGAGCAGCTTCTGGGGGTAAGTAACATAGGGAGAATGGAAGAAATGGAGGCAAGCAGCAGCAGAAGCATCAGCAATTAATTCACATTCTCTCCTCATCACATATTGCTATAAACCCTTTCCCCTCCTCCCCAACAGTCCTCAGTTTCAGAGCAACAGAAACAGTGCAGCATACAGAAGCAGCCACATACAAAAGCTTTAAGGCTGAAAAACATAAGACAAGGCACTGATGACATGATTTTCATCACCCAGGTACTCAAATGGAGGAAAAAAATCAGAAGCATGACAGACGAGACCCTCTAACAAAGTGTAACAGAGCTACACTCTGTAGAGATGCTCCAAGATGCTCTTCAGACAAGAGCTGACTGAATAAAGATGGGCCCGCTGCACATGTTGTGCATGAAGACAGGTTCTTAAATTATGAATAATGGACACAAGATGCAAACAGCACAGCATCCCAGAGGAGATGAGAAATATTTAAAATGCCAAGAAAACAAACAAGAAAACCCAAAACACCCTCTTCCCTTGTGAAGCTAGAAACAAACTTCACAATAAGCAGCCAGAATTTGTCAGTAGCTCTAAAGAAAATAGAGATGCTGAACATGAATAAGTGTTTGTGCCAGCCCAGCTCCTGGAAGCACCAGCAGCAGCACATTTCAGCAGACTTGCTGCTCCTAACGTCAGGAGGAGGTAAGTTGAGGACACCCTGCTTTTGGCTTTTTTTTTTTAAACGCTTTATAAAGAACCATAGTGTTTTGGGGACCTTTTACCAACATTAAAGGCCTTTGAAAGAAAATAGATTTGAGAAAGCTAGGCTAGAAGGTTACCATACTGCTCCCCCCAGGACATCACAACACATGCCAGCTGCCTCTGCCCAGCAGCAGGGGTGACAGCCCCAGAAGCCAGCTCAGGAGCCTGAACACCCTTTGCCAGAGCTCAAACCCCACGTTGTACTGCCCCAAAATACATGGAAACATTTGGCCGCTCTTCCACATAGCAACTGTAAAATTACTTTTAAATAGTAATAAATAGTTAGCTCGGCCACGGCAGAGAAACCTTGTATGGGATGGGGTAACATGGCAGCGTGTGCTGCAGCAGCCTGGGGAAAGCAATACCCCGACGAGGTCTGGCAGCAGATCAAGGGCAGTCGCTTCAGTTGCTTTTCAGATTATATAGCTTGGAGAAATTATTTTTGTAAGGTTCGGCCTTCTCAAAACCTCTCTACAGAGCACAGCCTTTACCGGTCCCTTACTGTCAAGCCCTACCCACCAGCACACAACATGGTGCTGTAGCCATGCCGGCTGTGTGCTGGCTACCACACCAGCAGCTGCCGAACCCATGAGACCTGCCCAGAACAGGAGGAATGCCTCCCTTTCCAGCCTCCTCTTTAATTTCAGCGTGCAGGCAGCCCCGCTGCCAGGGCAGGCCGTGCCAGGCCGCTGTTTGGTTTGTAAACAGACACCCCGGGCTCATCTCCGCCACAGGCCCCGCGGTCCCCGCCTTGCTCCCCACTGGCACGCGGGAGGACTGCTGCACGTCACGTTATCTGAAACGGCGAGCTTTCACAAGGAAGCAGATGATGGTTAGGCTGCATATTTTTCATCTACGTGTGTTTGTTTTGCTTTCCCCGGCGACTATATTAGCTTTTCCTAGAAATGGGGGGAAAAGTTCTGTCATGTTCCAGCCCGGGCTTGGTGAGGTTTGAGAACAAAAGCTCAGTTAAGGCAGACACTTTGCCTGTACACACTACAACATGTGCAGGGTGTGTCCTTTTTGTACTAAATAAAGGCTCGTATGCTTTCCAATTCGATAAAGGAATCCCCCCAGGGTTAATGCTCCAAAAGCACGAGTGGTGACAGGGAAACCTATCGCTTTCATTCCTTATTTTGTCTCCCACCAAATACAACACAGAGCTCCTCTTTACCTGAGTTGGTGGTAGCCATCACGGAGCAGCTCCTGAAGTGCACAGCAGGCATTGTCACAGTTAAAATTAACTTTTAAGTTGAGCCTGGTCCCTTTATTTGTGCAGCCATTTGGATATGCAGGTTTTGATATCCAATTGCAGCAAACTGGAATTTTCTGAGGTAAAACACCCAGCAAGGGGTCCTTTTATATTAATTTCTGGGTGCCCATAGACAAAGATTTCTATTTCAGTTTGTTTCTTGCCCCTTGCAGAGGAATCGGGGGGAGAACAGGACACACACACAACCAAAATGGCAACAACCTACCTCCAAGCTGGGGAGAAGCCCAGCCTCTGGGCTACTCTTGGGCCAGGCTGCTCCACCACAACCAGCACACCCCTGAACACACCTCAATACTACTTGTAGTGCTATTCTTTCCCCTACCACCATCTCCTTCCTTCTGCTAGTTTTGCCTAAAACCTTAAGACAAAACCCTTTTCCTCAAAACATTTACAAGAACACAGGATACTACTTGGGTCTCTGAACACTGATACTTGTGTGAAGTTATATTCCTCACTGTTTTAGCTACATCAAAGCTGCCATTAAAAGCTTGTGCTTGTGGTATTTTAATACCTCCAGACAAGAAACCACAAAACAATTCAGAGATCTATACAAATTCTTGAAAAAGGCAGCCTGATTTATCTGTACTTTGACTATATCCGTAACTGCATGTTGCATATATTATCAGTCCTTAATTTAAAAAAAAAAAAAAGCCAAACGAGTACTATGACTTCCTCTCATCTGCTTCTTGTTAAGGTACAGGTACCGATGTCTTCAGCTGGATTTTCATCACAAGAGAAATGCTAAAGCAGGCTTTAACAAGAACAATATGTAGATAGCAGTATGCTCACCTCGAGCTGCACTGTGTGAGAATGCAAACAGGAATACTTCACAAGTACAAATATAGTTGTCACATTAACCACGTTACTACCTTCTCCTGGATGCTTCTCACAGAAACATTCAAACCGGTTGACAGACATAAGTCTCAGAAAGTCCAGCCTCAGGATTATTTAAAAAAAATATATTCACAAAGATGGTCCTGCCTCCTATTTCTCTCCACAATCCTGCATTGTTCACTACAGCTGCTATAGATGTGGATTACAGCTGCTTGCACTTGAACACATGCAGCTGACTGCTGCATTTATTTTTTTTTTTTAATATTTAGATACCTTTATGTTACATATATTTGTGTACATGGACACACAACATATTATACATATTCATTCATATCCCACCCACATGCAGGATAGCAGGACTCCAGCATGGAAGAGCAATCTGGCATGAGCATGGAAGTTGCATCACAAGTAAAAATATAGGCTGTGGGATGCATGCAGAGCACACACTTCTTAAAGAATTAGTGAGAGCATCAGATGAATAATATGCTCATCTCACTTACATGATTGGCTCACTTAAAAGGTGTCATCTCAAACAACATTCCATATGTACTATCAGACTTTACGGATTTAGCATCCTATCATAGGCTTAAACTACTTGATAAATACAGCTCAAGCTGGCCTCTTAATGATACCCAGAATGAAAACACTTCTCAGCCAGAGTGGAAAAATCGTGACCAGAACTTGCATCAGCAGTTGATAGCAAGTCAACCAGCGAACGTTTCGCAACACAACCTAGCAGTTCAGAACAGTTTTAAGTCAGAGACTGCTTTGTCCCCTCATTCTCTACACAGCGACTAAATACTAGATAGAAACACCAACAACTAATTTGAAAATAGAAGTAAACTATCCTCATGCACCCAGACTTCATTCATCTTATGCTTTCTACAGAGATGAACTCTGTACTTTGAAGCCATCCACAGGTGTTCCCTTAACCTAAAAGTAAGGAGATGCCTGCAGCAGGTTTCTTCTTACTTTAAAGAGGACAATGTCAATAAGGACACACTCAACATTGCAGCAAAGAGCATCAATTTAAAATTCAGGTGCTTTTTATGCTTTCGTGTCCTCCGAAGCCCAGTCAAGCTAACCACCAGTGTTCATATCACAGTCAGACTGCAGTTGCAAGACAAGGTCTAGAACTTGTCCCATGATTTTTAGAAGCAGGGTTGGTCTGATGAACCAGAGCCTTGACTAAAATTGGTTTTGATTTCTGGTGTTTGTCCCAAATTCTAAAAGCAGACATCTATATAAGACACCACCACCAGAGCTGTAAGATACCTCCACAAGTCATTTAACCTAGCAGAAGCTACAATCACAGCTACAACTCAGTAACTAAGAATATCTTCAGAGGTAGCAATACAAACATCTACATATGTATGAATTTCAGACAGACTCAGAAATACCCTTCCCATATCACTGCAGATTTCCTTATTAAGGCCCTTTACTGCTTCACTTGTCTATAGCAGATACTATGACATTTCATGTGCTGCTTGAAAACGTCCATCTTCACAATGGACAGTCAAAAGACTTAATGACCCCAAGTCCTTGGAGGTCTTGATTTGGTTGGGTTTTTACTCCCCCTTGCTAAGATACCCAAAAAAGTAGTCCACATGCTTCTTACAATGGAAGAAAGATCAAACCAAGGTCTCCAGAGAAAGACTCCGCTAAAGAGACTGAGGTGACAGGACTAGATGAGAAGAGGATGTTTGTCTCAGAGGAGGTGGCAGTGCAAAAAGAAGGGAATGACCTAGAGCCACTTCCCTCAGCACCAGCAAAATATCATCTGCTAGAAGTCGTCTCTACAAATATAATTTGAGGCATCAGTAACTGGTTTAGAGTAAGCCTGTATCCGTCAAATCCTTGAATAAATTTCACTTTAAAATCACCCAAGATACTTCAGAAAGTGAATGTTCAGACTCTGCACTTCATCATTCTGTATTGCTTTAGAAACAGGACTAAGGCACTTGTAAGCTCTTTAGTTTCATTCCCAGTTTGAGCCAAGTATAAAGTGCATGTTATACAGCATTAAGAGACAAACTGGAGTATAAAGCAAATATGATTTGTTAATATAAATCTATGTGAGCATGTAGACAAAACGTTATCATCCATCTATTACCCAGTTCACATACTGGGGAAGCAGACTTACATGAATGCAGACAGCTGTGTAAACACACTTGCAGTTAAGATACAAAACATGTAAGGAAAGAAAGCAACACTCCAAGAAGTTTTACATTTTCCTTCCATTTAGCTTCACAAAAATCTGTTTCTCCACTGTGCTCATAAATGGAGTTGAAAAGCATCTGAAAAGAAGTATCAGGGAGGCATGCAGTGGTGTGAGGAAAGTGTGAAAAAAGCTCTAGGTCTGGTGAATACTACCAAGAGCTTATTGCAGCTGTAAATAGTAAAGAATAATGAAGGTTTGGCTGTGTTGTTTGTTTTTTTTTTTTTTAAATAAAGTTTTTTGGTTTTGCATTATGTTTCGCCATTGATTTTTAAAGCCAATTAATATGGCAATAGAAATAAACTGTAAAAAGCTTAGCATGCGGAATGCAGTAGAACAGCAAGTGACAACACAAAACACCAAAGCCACCCGTGCAAATGCCACAAAAGCAACAGAAGACAACCTCGGTTTGTAGCAGACGCACCAAGATGCGCTAATAGGGACTACAATATCCCCATATGCTTGAGTTTGACTGGCTTTAAAAAAAAAAAATGAAACTTACAGGAAAAATCTGAAATTCCAGCTTTAAAGCTCCAAAAAGCTTCAACTGCAATTTATGAGCCCATCACCTCCCAGGCAGCGCTGTGAGCACACTGGGCAGGAAGCTCGCTGTGTTTGTACTTCATTTGTTACACCACGAGGAAAGAGCAGACACTGGTCACTACAAACCATTCAATTAAACGCTCATTTTCTAACCATTAGGGAGAGGATAAATGGTTCAAGTTCTGGAGTTCCCAACTGCAAGCCCAACTAGAACCATAATTACTAAATTCCAACCAGTAAATTGTGCATGGAGAGGATGAAATATTATGTTTTCTCATCTCAAATACAATCACCTCTTCACACTGGCCAACAACAACAAAAACTGAATAAATGCTCCATTGTGTATACTTCTCGACTACCACATGCAAGCATAAATTGTGCTGTAACAGTGGTTACAAACCACCAAACTATCAGATCAAAAAAAGGCATAATTTTCCAACTTGGATGTCACAAGTTAAATTCCTTAATCCAGAACAAGTCAGCAAAAGAGCTCGGCACCCCTGCCCTTTTTGGCAGAAGGAGCAAGTATTCCAGGCCTTCAAAAGTGAGTCCAATCTAACTGTTTTGGCTAGAAAGAAAAAAAAAGCCCTCACAAGTACATGGTATTTGTTTCGACTACCCAACAAGAATTGCATCTGGGTAACTTAAATAGACGGGCAGCTACAGGGATGCTGCTCGCACACAGCTCTGAGTCTGATACCCAACATGCGACCGTAAATCCGGGAATGGAGCAGACCACATGAGGGTACAGCCATCTGTGTGATGACTGCGACATCACTGTTGCAGCATGCGATACTCTGCCCTCATTAAAAACACCAGCACAAAGCCCCATACATGAAGCAGACGCCTGCTCACAGCAACAACCTCCCCAGCAGAGCGAGGAAGACCACAGGGCTGGCGTCAGGAGGCAGCAGTTAAGCTGGGCACAGCTGGGAGAGGTGCCACGAACACGAGCTCATGCCCTGGCACCTCTGGGTGCAGCGGGAAGGCTGCACTCCCAGCATGGCATCGGACCTTGCTGCTTCCCACAGGGATGTCCTGGGAGCGGTGGCTGTGGTGGGCAGGCTGAAACAGGGATTTCCACGCACCACGAGTCACCTTCTTTCTCTTTTCTTTGTCCCAGCCACGCGCAGCTTCTGCGGCAAGCTCAAAATGCCACGCCGGGGATGCACGTCTCTCTCACACAATAGGATTTTCGGAGTTATTCATGATTTAGAAATGCACAGATTAATTTGGGCTGCTTTACATCCCAGTCTGGCTTTTAATGCTGTGTAACTTGCTCTTTATATCTGCTCAAGCTGGGAAGGAAACTAAGCGCAGCTTGCAAACCCTGCAGTTGTACTTCTAAAGCAATCGAGAATGATGAAGTGCAGGCTCTAACCATTCATCTCTGCAAGGATTAAAGTGAAATTCACCCAAGAATTCAATGGATAAAGGTGTCTGAGAATCCTGTGGAAAGTTAAAAGTTGACGTAAGGCCGAATACAGTGCAGTTAATTTGTTTGCAAGGGTGATTGGTTTGGAATAAGCCAAAGTAAGTTTGGAAAGACAAGACTTTTCCCAGCACTGATCCTGGAAAGGCTTTTTCCCTCATGAGCAACACCCCTTCCCAGCCAGTCCCTCCAGGTCTTTCCCTGGAGCCCAGCATGCTGCCACGTGCCACCACTCAGAGACACACAAACTGCTGGGAAATCACCTGCAGCACAGCAGCAAGAGCCCTCCAACGCCTTCAAACCTCCAAGAAACATCCAAAAGACCTGCAATCGTGTCATCTACAGAGGAGAAGCCTGAGGGAGGAACTGAGATGGAGGAAAGAAGTTTCCCAGGACTGGGAGGCAGCAGGGGTAAACGCAGAGTGCTCGCATAGGATCAGCCCACCTCCACTCATTTCACAGGGACCCTCATCCCCTTCCTGCCCCGTACACCCAGCTCCCTGTATTGCCATCTCTGGAAGCACAACAGAATCAGACTCAAACTCAAGCTTAGTACTTCAATCTTCAGTTCTTCTCTGAGGGCTCTTTTCCTGCACCATCATGCAGAACACTGTTTGGTGTCACCGCAAACCGCATGGGGCAGAAGTGTAAGTTTTGGGGAATGTATCTGAGAGCAACCGTCACATGGGGCACATCGCACTAGGTAAAATAAAGAGGCGGTGTGAAATGCTTTCGTTGGCTTAACTCATTCGGAATTTTTTTTTTTTATAGGTGTGATGGAAGCACAGTCAAAGCCAGACAGTTTTGGCTAATACAACCGATCAGCCTGCCCACCACGTCATGGCCACATCTGAAGTGCTCTCAGTAATAGCGACAATAACCAGTGTGAAGGGCAACAACAGTGACTTCACGAGCAGAGTAGCAGCGTTTAAAGTGCTCACAAAAACAGCAACACCATCCAGGAAGAGCTCCGATGCTTCAAAAAGGCTGAAAACCCGCTCTGTTCTCTCCCACTGAGATTATAAAAAGTTACTGAGCATTATGAACAGACATGCCATGCACCTCGCTTTGGTCATGCAGGAAAGAAATAAATCGGGAGTTCCATGTACCGGCGTTGAATGCATAAAAATAGCCAAGAGGTCCGAGTATTTCAGAGTATCTGCTCACTTTCAGGAAAAAAACGTGACCATTCATATGATTGCTTAGGCATTGAAGCATCTTTTTAGACAAATAGGAAGCCAGCGAGCCTGTAGCGATGTCAAGCAGCCCTATTTTTAGAAGCATGTGTCAAGGGCACATGCCTAGAAAGCGCTTTCACTGCTTCAGCAGTTTACAGGAAAAACGAGGCAGACGAGCACATGCGTACGTAGGGACAGATGAGCCCGAGTCCCGTGTGGGAATAATCACATGGGGCCGCTTCGGCCCTTCCAGGTGACTCCTGGGAGCAGTGCCAGCCTGACGCAGCCCCAGCGCTGCTCGGGTGACAAGGGACGGGAGCAGGCGCGTGGCACTCGGTCCCAGAGCGGCACAAGAGGGCTGGGGCAGCACAGGCTGAAAGCAAATGGACTCAATTACATTCTTTCACATGAAAATTGAGTATTATGGGTAAGCAACAGGGTGTCTGCAAGAAAAAAAAAAAAAGGAATCACTATAAAAAGCTTTGTGTTCCCAGTTGTTTTCTATTTTAGGTTCCACCTATGATAATTTTCCAAACTGCTCAGTAGCTCTAGCATCAGCTGTTCAGAACAGCCCAGCAAATATTTCATCTGTGCGTGTGGATGAAGTCTGCAGAGTCGCTTAAAGGAGGCAAGAAGCCTGATCCTCTTGGCTCATCCTGGATCTTTCTAAGACTGTTCAGTGTCTCCAAACCTAGCCCACAGTGCCTAACACCATAACGTACCTGTACATAATACTATAATTAATACTGTAATGTGTTATCTGGTGGGTCTCATTCATTAATAAAAAACAGTTACCAAGCAAAACAAGTTTCACCACTACATGCATGCTTACCCTGCTACTTTCAAGTAGTATCTGTACACCTGCTGCCACTGCTAGTCACAGTCCCAGGAAAGTTCCCTCCGTTTTCATTAGCAACTCTCCCTTATTTGAAATATAATCTGAAATCTTGTAAGCCACTTTTTTTTTTTTAAAATGAGCAACACTAAGACTACCTTTAAATATGGTTTAGCTAGTAAGTTATGCAATGGAGGAGCCAACAAGGACTAATTAAAAGATGACAAGACAGCTCAGGTTAGCAGGGACCTCTAGAGAACATTTGGTCCAGGCTCTCACGAAAGAGGCTGCCTAGAAGAGATTAGCTAGCACCCCACCAGGTCACATCTTGAAATGCACAAGGCTACTACAAAAGTGTGAGAAACTGGATATAAATGTATTCTTCCTCCATCCCACGGGCACAGTGGTGCCAGATGAGCCCTCCTTAGGCTATCCACAAGCACTTAAACAAATGCTTTGGCCAAGAACCAAGGTGTGATAGCCAAGTGCTCACTGGTCAAATTAGAAATTTGGCAAAAGACGATGTGCCATATGTAGATGAACCAAAAGGCTATAAAGCACCAAGCCATCTGAAGCACAGCGATGTGGTTGTCTGTTACGTGGGTGCCTGTTCCACCAAGAAACCTTACAGTTCAGTGCAGGGCTTACAGCAACCTCAGTGTGTTTGCAAGGACCAGGAACACCAGAGCAGGTCGGTGTCAGCAGCAGCCCATGGTATACTTGATTCTTTCTGAAAACAGAGACCAAGTTACCAGTTATCAAGAGGAGCTGTCACATGTCCCCCAGAGCCCTCATAAAAGAGGCTGTTCAGCCATTCTGAGGACTGAAGCCAGAATGAAAAGCTTCACTGTTCAGTTCACTCACATGTACGATGTCCTCCCAACCACGCTGACTTCCATGAATCTATTGACATTTACTGGTTTTGACCTCTGGTAGGTAATGATTCATTGAAGTGTGGTGTGGTCAGCATGGTCACAAGACAGCTGAGACCCAAATAGCAGGCACCTGCAATGAGTACATCCAGTGCCATACACACAAACCGTGGAAAAAGACTATCAACCACAAACAGTTTGGAAAGCAGAGCCAGGACAGCAGGAGATGTGGACAGACACAGCTCTGGAGAGCTACCAAACAGCGCTGCTTATCAGCTTTGTATGGCCTTGCCCGGTGCAACTCCCCTGTGTACTGGGCTCTTCTTAGGATGGGAAATAAGGACAGCACAGGAACGTGTGTGTGAAATTACCGTTGCCAGCAAAGCAAGCATACAAGCACAACTGGAAGGAAAAAAGTGGAGATATTTGTATCTCCTTTTGGCTGCATTAATAAATAAGCTGCAGAGCAATATAAATCCCACTAATTTTCCATAAGAACAGATGTTTGCCAAACAACATCTCAGTTTCAACACTCACTTGTAGAGAACGCATTACACAGAACGTGCTACTAAAAGAATGACAGAAAACAGAATAAAATAAAAAACAGTTCCAAGTTACAAGATATTTCTGTGCCTGTTTAAACAAATGGGATGTAGGCTTAATCCTTGTACTATAGCTCCTCTCCCGAGACATCTGGATGCAACTCTTCTCCTGTGCCATTACTCAGGTCACCTGGAAAAATCATAGGTTACACCTCAACAAAGTCCAGCGTGGCTGTTTTGTGAGCATCCACAGAGCTGCAGTTAACTTTTTGGATGTGTTACTGCTGAAAAACCCTGCCCAGAGGTGAGGGGCACAGGTAACCTGCCATCCAAGCCCAAGCAGCTCCTCACCGCATTTCTGTATGGCAACCTACACCCTTTATCTCTCGCATTGCTTTTGGTTACCCTCATCTTTTCCTCCCCCAGGGCACACAAAGCACAAACCACCCCACCCCAGGCCACCTTCACCCTCAGCTCCAGCCTCCCAGCAGCAAAGCCCGCCCTCCCCAGCAGGGCTTGCACAGGGGCAGGGCACAGAGGAGCGAGTCTGTCGGTGCCGCACTCTGCTGGGAGGGGGTCGCAGGAGAACAGCTGGGATTCAGGGAGGAGAAGCAGCAGCAAAATACAAAAACAACGGTGAGAAGTTGCATAAAGTTGGAAGCATCAATGTAACAACCTCGATGATAACCTTCCTACTTTGCCTCAAAATGAATTTAAAAAGCAAATTGTTAATTCTGGATTAATTTAGCTAGAAAGCAAATATTTATTTCAAAGGACCACCTGCCTTAAAATTAAAATGCATTAGCTTTCCAATGGCATCTGCTAAAGCTGTGTGGCAAATGTTACGGAGTTTCCAACAAGTATCTATCTTGTTTATAATTCATGGCCCTGTATTTATAAACTAACATCAGTAAAATATTACATGATGTTACACAATGAATTTAATTCTAAAACTTTAGTTAATGCTCTAACACTTCACTGGCAATCTTCTGAAAGTTTTGCACATGTGAGTACTCGGGCAGAGGTTCTGACACAAGTTTCACCTTTTTTAAAAAATGCAAAAGCAGCGTGAATCTCAAGACCTGATTATATACACATGAAGAGGCAAGGCTGAGAAAAGCACACTGATTTAAAGCCACCCATGAGTCACTGAATTTGGAATTCCCATTACTTCAAGCCCAGCCTAAATGCTTACCCACCTCTAGAATTAAGATTTTGCTAATAGGAAGAGGTAAAGACACCAATATTCCTAAGAGAAACGATGCTTGAGTGCAGAAGCCAACCTCCACTGCTTTTCCTACAACTCCAAGCACAGATGAGCCTTTGGAGAGGAATGGGCAAGTAGTGACACATCCCTGAAATTTGAAGACATTGACAAAAACTCAACTGAACTCAGTTCCTATATCAATGCAAGATGAAAAATGTATTTTAGGAGAAATACGTGCTGCTTGCAAGTCCGATACTCTCAGTAAAATGGCAAATGAAGCAGTGATTCATATAGCTAATCAACAAGAGAAGCCTGACACTGAGTAACTGGTATTACAGCAAAGGCAGAAGATGCAGAGCTTTAACTCCATGCTTTTTCTCTTCGTGACACCTGAATGAATCTTATATTTTTGTTAAAGTTACTACCAGCATTCAATAAAATTTTTCCTGCATACAGCTGGTCAGCCAAGGAATGCTGAAACAAAGGGAAGGAAAAGGAAAACTACAGGCATTAAATCAGCCAAGCCAACAGCTTCTCTCACTGAGATGAGATCAGCTAGAAGCCAACTGGTCATCTTACTGCACTGAAGTCAGAATTACATGGTGTAATATTGTAAGGAATAACAAAAGAGGTACCAGAACCTTAAGACACGCTTCATTCTAGCACTGCCTTAAGCTGCACGCCTGCCTGTGCTTCCTGTAAGAGCATCGCGGTCCTGATATCAGCATTCCTGTCTACCTTTGAGGTAGCAGCAAAGCAAACACAAGGTGGGCAGTCCTAGCTAAGCTGTAGAGGATGGTTATAAGGACTCCACTGAACGCAACTCCCAAAACTACTTTCAAAAAGAGACCTAAAATAGCGCTCATACACACCAAGTATCATTTTTTACTCAACTGCTTTTGAACCATTAATGAGTCATCTCTTAAATCACTGGCTATTTTTACAAGGGATTATTCACACAGTAAACTAGCCTTCATAAAAAGGAACTCCACACGTTTCCAATACAAACTATTTTCCCCCTTAACCTAATTAGCGCCACACAGAAATCCACCGATTTAGTTTTGATTTTTCAACTTGCTCACTAATTAAAACACTGAAGTGCATTTATCATAGAGGGCTGGTTTTGTTTTCCACCTCGCAGCAAAAGCTTACTGCCTTCTACTTTGCCCACAGAAGGTTTTTTTCTCTACCAGAGGGGCTTTCTACCAACGTAAATGGCCAGCGACCAAGCGAACGTGGCAGAGCAGCAGAACATAAAAAGCAATTAGTGGTAAAGTTTTTGTAGGTTGTGTCATTTCTTATTCCTTCCACGCCTTCATGGGGCAGCAGAGACTTCATTAGAACCAAGTCCAGGCGCAGCCAGCCTCCTGCCCGCTTGGACTATTCTTAATCTTCGTGGAAGCCCAGCAATTTTCCCTGATTGCTTGTTTGAGGGACGCACAATTTCTGCAGTGTTTATTTTGGGCCGCGGCGGAGGGAGGGAGGAGCGTGGCCAAGTGGGCAGGAGCCCAACCCAGATCGCACAGAACGCGGCGTCCGCACTCGAGGAACGGCTCCCGGCCTCGCTCGAAGCCCCAGAGCCTCCTCCCCGCCTCGCCGTGGGTTGCACGCCTCCGTCTTCACCCGCAGGGCTCCTGCGGGATGGAAACCACACGGCTACACCCCAGCCAGCCCTGCTGACTGCCTGGAGCTCCCCCAGAACAGCGGGGGTGATGCCGGTAACAGAGCGTCCCAGGCAGTGCCACGAGGAAGGGGGGGCATCCTCCAGTGTGAAGAGCTGCAAAACACAAGGTGAGCTCCTCAGGGGCAACAGGGGACACTGCTACGGATCTCTGGATGAGCAGTGCGCTGCAGGAATAAAGAGTGAGATCCTCACCTGAACCAAACGTAGAACCCACAATGGCAAACACCTTGCCTTATGGAGAGCCTTGCACCCACACACATAATCAAATTCCCCTCAAGTCACCAAAATATCTCACTGCCATTTTTACAGGGTGCACGTTAACAAACAAAGACCCTGATCAAACATTTTTTTTAATAATCCTAAGAGAAAATTAACATGGATCTTAATGTGGATCATACCACCTCAGTGCAAGCGCACAGCAGCATCTGCAGCCTCCAGAGCGCCAGCTCTGTGGGTCAGGTATTTTGGTGATGGAGCAGGTCTTCGCAGTATTCAGTCATCATTTTGATGAACTAACCATTAAGAACAAATTTAAAATTCATGTATGAAATTAAAATTCTCATGCTAAAATTCTCTTCCCTCCTTCCTGAGGAGCTGTGATGGGGCAGACTGCCTAAGATACACATAACACAGGAGACAACAGCTTGGGGCAG